GGTGTGGGTAAATTAACACGGGTTCACAAACAAACCAGCTAAGTTCAAGATGTCACTGCGGATCGTCTGTAGCCTGAATAACGATCATTAACTCTCAACTCTTCATGATGGTGACGATGAAGACTTCGGAGCAACGCTGTGTGATCCTCGAACTTTTGGTATCTACTCAATACTGATTACCTACAGAGCCAGTATTGCCAACAGCAGTACCAATACTTTCAAATTATAAAGTGAGCTCATGTAGGGGTGTAGCTTCCTCAAAGTTGAAAAACGGACTCAAGGCATTCTTGATTTTTACTGCATTTAATGGACACAAGTGGCACCAACCATACCATTTGAACTGTACAAACAACATGGAATAATCAGTTTTCACAATAAGTTGTTATCATAGAGAATAAACAATAAAGCATATTATTCAACAACATAAAAAACATTCACAATTTGACCTTTACAATGATTAACATAAACTTGACAGTTCTGTCACAAACAAACATCTAATTTTTCTACTAACATATAAAACACAAATTGCAAACCTCATTGGCCGCATGAACTTGAAGGGGTTAATGAAAACACATCTTGCAGTGCACACTTTTTCCCCATAGCCGGGAAACTTCTTTGCATGCGTCTACATAGCTCTACCACCACCTGAGAAAAGAAAGCATGCTGCCTTCTACCGAGTGTGGCGTGTAACTGAAAATATTGTCAACCCCAAACAACAGACTGAACATTGGTTCCACCCTGGAAACATTCTGTAAAACCTTTAAATGTGTGTTTTTAAACCAAAAATGTATACATTAAATATGATTTATTAAAAAGAAAGTATTTTAATGTATTTATTGTAACTTACACCCATGAAATTACCATAAACTTCATAACTGCTGCTGACGGCAGTCACAAGGGGAGAGCAGTGTGTCATCATCTATGTGCCAACAACACCGGCACGAGGATATCATATCGTGCGTCTATGAGATGAACCATCAGCAGTTCTGAACACGTTTTAATGACCACTAAATCACT